GGAGGGCCCTCCAAAGTGTAGTATCAGAGAGTGGGACACAGGCCCAGACTGACTCCCACCCGTAGGGACAGTGAGGCTTTGGTATGTCCCATTGGTGGATTCTCTACTCGTCATGCTGGAGAAGGGGCGTTGTCTTACCTGAACGCCTTTTCTCAGCATGACGATGGAGAATCCACTCCCGCCCTTAGGGTCAGTCAGGTCCTATGTGGGAAGAGAATTGAGCGAACACAAGATTACATAGCCAACAGCTTTTGCCTCAGGAGACTGGGAAAGGGGTGTCTCAGGAGGAGAGGCGGAGCAAAAATTGGCTGACTTAGTCTACGGGCAGAAGACAAGCAGAACCCATTGGTGGATTCTCCATCGTCATGCTGAGAAAAGGCGTTCAGGTAAGACAACGCCCCTTTTCTGATTTCAGTCTTCAAAAATCTCCTTTAGTATTTTCATTGTTAGAAGGTTTTGCAACATTTTACAAGTTTGTAAATCTGTCCTCTCCCTAAAATCTTTGGTCCCCTTTAGCATTCAGTTTTTGAAATCATGAAATTACTTAACTTTGCTTTGTCTTGTAAAAACCAAGACAGGATCTATTTCTGATGAGAAGTTACTTATTCTTTATAATTAATTTCAAAATCTGTAATAAATTTAAAAAACAGTATTCCAATTTTATCTGACTTCTTAGTCTATTTATATCTTTGATCTCAGAGTTCAAAATCTTGCTTAGGTTTTTTTGCTGTTTATTTCAGATTATTTACATTCTTCAATTTATGATTAAAATTTTCATTCAGGATTGAATGTAGACTCACCTGGTGTTTTCAACATCATTCCAGTGGTCTCGAATAGCTTAGATGTAGTCAATGAGCAATTTCTGAAAATAATTATGAAGTGAGGTTTGCAAACAGTGTCTTTTAAAAGTCTCCAAATGGTTGTGAGCAAGATAGCAAATCTGTCAATATCCATCTCGAGAATCCAAATAAAACTCCAGGTTCATTCCGTTTCCAAAATTCTTACTGTTTATTGAACACACGGCATGGTAATGTTGAAGCAAAACTAACTCTGAAGTTCCCAGATACCAGTTAATAGAATTAAACAATAATTTCTCCGGCCAAACCCCCACCCTCTCACGTAGTTCATGTAAACAATTTCACATTGTTATGGGAACTTTCTGCTTCCTCACCTGCTGTAGTGTCCTTGGAAAGGTTCCAGTCTTTCACGGTCTTCAGTGGAATCATAGAGATTTTGTTTCTCCATCTAACAAATTCTAAAACAACACCTCCCCCCCTTACTCTAATGGCAAGTTGAAACGAAGAGGCACGTAGCTGCCAAAGTTTCATTCTTGACATATTGACGCCCCCGAAAGAAGAATGAATCTGGAAATCGTTCTTGACATACTCTGTCTAAAATGCATGTGGGCTATCTCCTTATCCATAGTGGTTCCAAGGAACTGGTCTGCTCAATCCCAGATTTTCCTGTAGCCATTCTTAAGAAGTACTGTGTTTTCCCAAAAATAAGACCCGGTCTTATATATTTTTTTTGTTTTATTTTCGGGGGATGTCTTACCTGCTTACCTTAGGACTGCTGCAGCCAGGCCTCCCATGACATCAGTCGCGCTGCTGCCTGAGTTCTTCTGCGGCCACTTGTGGCAGCACGCCATGTGGTGTATTGCATCGCTGTAGCTGCTCGCACCAGGAGGCTGCATGACTCATTGTGCCAGTGCTGCTACTCGTGGCAGGAGGTCACGTGGCTCATCGTGCCGGTGCCGCCGCTCGCAGCAGGATGCCATGTGGCTTGTCATGCCAATCGCGCTGGTGCCACCAATCACAGCAGGAGGCCGTGTGGTATGTTGTACAGTGGCACACGCGAGCTTAGTCTCAGTCACCCTAGCCACCCTAACAGTATGGTGCTAAGCTGCAGCCAGCCCAGCTCAGCAGCATGGTATTCTGCAGTACAGTATGCGGGGTACTCTCACTGCCCTGTACTCCCAAGGCCTTGTTCTCTGCCCCCCCCTCCAGATGATTTTTGCAATTTTGGCCCTTTGTGAGACAGCTGCTGACCATGCAAGGCCTTCTTCCAAAGTCCTGCAAGGAAAGTGCTATGTACAACCTGTGAGAAGAAGGCTTGGCATGGTCAGCAACTACCTTTCCTGGCCTTCCATGCTCACCTCCTCTTCAACTCCCCCTCCCACTAATTCCCTTCCACTCTCACATTTTTGCCCTTTTAGCTATCCTGCACTCTGCTGGCTTTGCCTCTTGCAAGGAAAGCAGCTGCCTCATGAAGGGCCAGGCTGGGAGTGCTTTTTCAGCAGTGGGAGCAAGAAGACAACAAAGGCAGTTGGGAGCAGCAGAGTATAGGGCAGCAGGGCAGCGGAGGGCAGGACAGTAGAGACGGCAGAATGCAGGGTGGCCAAAGGGGCAGAGAGGAGGGAAATAGGTGGGTGTGAGGACTTGAAGCTCCTCTGCAGTTGCAAATGCCAGGGCTGTTTGCCAAGCGCCTGAGTTTGTATCATGTGACTGTAGGGGCATTCCAAAGAGGTAACTTGGGAGACTGGGCACAACTACCATTCGTTCAGCATCACCATAACTCTGAATGGTTGTAGAATTAATGGTTGTTAAGTAAGTTCAGATTGCAAATCTGCAAGAGCCTTCTGCAGCTGTCATGTGCAATGCAATTTTTGTCTTTGAATCCAAAGATTTGCACAGCTTTACTGGTCAACAGCTTTCTGCTGTTGAAACAACTACCGACTAGATACTCTACTGTAAGAAATGTTCTGATCAGGAATTAATAGGATGGGGAACTCTCTCCTGTTGCCAGGCAGATAGCAGCAGGAAGGCCTCATTTGGTAGAAAAAAGCAACACAAGTAAATCAGCCTTTGAAGACGTTCTGCTTATCACTCATTGTTGCTTCCTATATTTAGAGACCAAATTATGATTTCTGATTATGGTTTGTTGCTGGGAAATAGTTTGCTGTAAAGGTCAGATGAAGGTACAGTGACAAGCACAAGTTTTTGTTGTGTGCTGATTTTCCTATTTCCAGGACCAGGAGGCCTTGCTCAAGCGCTCATGCCTTAGTCATCCTCTATTGGATTACTGCAATATGCTCTACATGGGGCTGGCCTTGAAGACCACTTGGCCATTACAACTATCCAGCATGCAGCAATACACTCAATTCTGGGTGTTTCATGATTTTCCCACATTACATTGCTGTTGTACAAGCTGCATTGGCTTTCAGTTCCTTCCAGGTGCAACTTAAAGTGCTGGTTATTGGCTTTAAAGCCATAAATGGCATGAGACCAGGTTCTCTGCAGAACCATGTCTCCTTCAGGATAACTGCTCCTACCATTAGGTCAGATAAGGTGGCATACTCCAGTGTTGCCATCTGGCCAATGCCTTGGAGGTGCATCTTTTCCATGGATGCCCTTGTCCTTTTTGGAATAGCTTCTCTGAAATTCAGAGGGCTACTACCCTTTTAACCTTGTGGGAGGGTTGTGAAGACCTGCCTCTTTCCCCAAGCACTGGGCTGGGTTGGAAATGAGTTTAGCAAATGTAGAGTTGATAGGATATTGTGGTGCTGTGGTTGTAAGTATGATGTCTTTTGGGAGAAAGTTATATATTTTTTTGATGTTGGTATGAGCTGCCTAGCATTATCATGCATAAAATAAGTGGCCACATAGGTTTTGTAAATGAATAAATGAGTCACAATCTGCATTACTTATGAACTATACTTTCTCCCTTTTTATGAGAATCTAAATTTTACACTGAGAATGGGTAATCTTTGGAAAGGGAAGGGTTACATTCAGTATTTTTATATTATATTTTACACTCAACATTCTTTACAAATAAATGAATAACAAATTTTGTGTGGGTTGAGGGTTGCAAAATTGGTGGCATTACATGACATGGGAGTGACTGGTTTTGTGGAGGAATAGGAATGGTTTTTTTTAAAGACAAGTACTGTATAGAATGCAAGAATTGGACCCATCTCTACATGTGCATATCCCACAAGCACATACCCTTTTAATTATTCATCTTTCTTAGTTATTCTTTCTCTTAGATATCAACTGTGAATTACTATAGGAAATTAGCAATCTGGTCCTCTGTTAGTTGACAATCAGTGGCTAATGAGGTCAAAATGTTTGGTTTTCTGTTTTTAATGGTGGCAAGAAACAGTGATCTGTTAAATGCAGGTCATGTAAATCTATTGGTCAGAGGTAAGATTTAATTGGGGGACTTTACAGGGCATGCCTTTTGTATCTAAGGTTGAACATTCTTTCATAGTATAGACATTAAAAAGATTATTTTCATAACATATTTATTAATATAGAATATTTTTGTAATGGCCAAATGTGATTGGACGCACAAGGAATTTGTCCCCAGTGCATAAGTTCTCAGTGTACATACAAACAACAAAATGATAATCATAAGATACTAATAGGAGAAGGTAATAGGAAAGATGAAAAGGATAATAGTAATACAGCCCTACTACATGGGTAAATATCCTTAGGCATAAGATAATGCTGTGGGAATTAAGTCTTTAGCAGAGTGATGGCATGGAGAAAAAGACTAGTTGTTTTGGCATTCAATGCCCTATAGCGGCATCCCGAGGGAAGGAATTGAAACAGTTTATATCCAGGATATGAAAGGTCTGTAGATATTTTCTCAGCCCTCTTTCTGGCTCATGCAGCATATAGATTCTCAATGGAAGACAAGCTGGTTGCAGTTGTTTTTTCTGCAGTCCTGACTATTGGTTGACATCTGTACCTGTCCTGTTTGGCTGCTGTACCAAACCAGACAGTTATAAAAGTACAAATGACAGACTCAATAATTCCTCTGTAGAAGTGTATCAGCAGCTTCTTGGGCAGTCTGAGCTTTCTGAGTTGATGCAGGAAAAACATCCTTTATTGTGCCTTTTTAATGATGGTTCTAATATTAGGTGTCCATTTCAAGTCCTGGGAGATTATAGAACCCAGAAACGTGAAGGTCTCTACTGTTGATACTGTGTTGTCTAATATTGTAAAAGGTAGTAGAAAAGGAGAATTCCTCCTAAAATCCATTATCATATTTACATTTTTAACTGTTCAGCTCCAGATTGTTCTGGCTGCACCACAGGACCAGTTGTTCAACCTCCTGTCTGTATGCAGACTCATCATGGTCTCAGATGAGGCCAATGATTATTATATCATTGATAGGACCAATATATTATATCATTCATATGACCAATATATTAAATTATGCCTTGCAAATTTTTCTCCTCCAGCATAGATTTAACAGTATCTCATCTTTTTCTTGTTGTTCCAGGAGACAAAGATGGCAGCAAAGTGACTACAGTAGTAGCAACTCCAGGACAAGGTCCAGATAGGCCCCAAGAAGTTAGTTATACAGACACTAAAGTGATCGGGAATGGATCTTTTGGTGTTGTTTATCAAGCCAAACTCTGTGACTCAGGAGAGCTGGTTGCCATTAAAAAAGTTCTGCAAGACAAGAGATTTAAGGTAAAGAGATAAAAAATATTTTTAAGAATAACTTCTGTCCTTCTCTTTCATTCCTTTCTGATTGATTTTTCTCCAAAGAATATATTATGTACATTGACATTCCAATATTTCAAATATAGTCTGGTGCAAAACAGAAATCTTGTGCTGAAATATAATGTATTTTTAATTTTATAGATGGAAAATAAATAAAGAAAAAGAAAAATTGACTGATTTAGTGTTTTTATTTTAGTCATAAAGATGAAGGTTTCCCCCCAAAAAACTGAATGTGATTGCTTAGGGAAACTAAATTAATAGGATAATTTTAATAGATTAATTTTACAACAAGCGTTCAGTTACTATTTTATAGAGAATTTGTTGCTGGGTTCTTGCTTTGCACTAGAGCACAGTTTATTTTCATTGTGGTCTATTGAATAATGGTTGAGTTATTTAGTGCATTGAGTTCTAAACCATGGTTTACAAAGTATAATGGATGAGGTTGTGTAATACTTGAAACTTATACATATAAATAGCTAGCTATTTATAATGTGATTTAATATGTATAAGTTTTAAGTATTGCACAAGCATGGTTTAGAACTCAATGCACTAAATAACTCAACCAATCGTTATTCAGTAGACTACAATAGCTAGGCATTTATAATGTGATTTAATATGTATAAGTTTCAAGTATTGCACAACCTCAGCCATTGTACTTTCTAAACCATGGTTTAGAACTCAATGCACTAAATAACTCAACCAATTGTTATTCAATAGACCACAATGAAAATAAACTGTGCTCTATTTGTAATTTTACATACGGTTTTATTTGGAAATGGCTTTTCTAAAACTTCTGTTCTTGGTTTATATCCAGCTAGAATGGCTATTAGTTTACAAACACCAAGTAGCACTTAAGTTGCATTTTTATTCAAGTACATGAATTTCTGTATCTCATTCTACAAATGCTGAGATAGTGAAGTTTCAAAAGAAGTGCCCAGAAGTTAATTTTTCAAAAAGCAACCTGGCATGATATTTTTAAAATTAAGGTTTGGTTATTTGGTTATTTAAGGTTTGGTTGATTTATTAATTTATACTTGGTTATTTTTGAGTAAGTCTCCTTAAATTTAATATTATAAAAAGAAATTACATATATACATATAGCTGGACAGGTCATTTTGGGCAACAAATTCACCCTCGTGATATATGGAGAATTCCAAATGGAAGCATCCCCAGAATTGTCTTTGTTCTTTGTTAAAACACAGTCAGTGAAGAGGAGCTTGTCACTTCTGTAGTTAATTAAATTCATCGTTGAACTGCTCTTATTGTTAGAATATTTTTCCCTAACATTCTGTCAGTATTTGACTTCCTTTAATTAAAATTTATTGATCTGGAATGGTACAGAATAAATTTTGAGTGTCTTCTGATGACATTGTTTAGATGCATGAAGGGTATTTACTCCTCTGTTCTCAAGGCTATTATTCCCAAATGTTATTCAGAAGTATTGTTGCCAAGCCAGGTCTCCCCCAATAAAACCTTTCATTTCCATTTCTTGAGTGAAGAAATTTGTATTTGTCTTGATTAATCTTGCTCTGTTATTTTTGTGTGTAGAACCATAAAGGAAGTAAAGATGATCTAATAGATCCTACAATGAATGGGAAGTTAAAGACCATAAGATTTAAGATTCCTTACAACCATAAAGTTGTAAGAAATCTTAAATCTTATGGTCTTTAACTTCCCATTCATTGTAGGATCTATTACAGTGGTGGCGAACCTATGGCACGGGTGCCAGAGGTGGCACTCAGAGCCCTCTCTGTGGGCACGCGCGCCGTCGCCCCAGTCCTAGGCGTTCAGCTGGGTTTTATAAAACCTTTTCGCTTTAGGCATCCACCGCCATGTGCAAAAAAAAAAAAAAAGGTTCAATCAATCAGTCAATTTCAACTTCTCGCGGGGAAAAAAAAGATCTTGCAAAGTTCGAATTGATTGATTGAACTTTTTAGTCCCACCCAGTCTGCTGTTACTACCGCAGCCACGCCCAGCCAATTGGCCACGCCCAGCCAATTGGCCACACCCACCTGGCACCCGACGATGCATAAGTGGGTTTTGGGTTGCAGTTTGGGCACTCGGTCTCTAAAAGGTTCGCCCTCACTGATCTATTAGATCATCTTTAACAGATGACCATTCAGCTTCTCTTTGAGGAGCTCTAGCAAAGTAGAACTCACCACTTTAAGCAGCAGCCTGTTCCACATACTGACATTTTATATAGTCAGGAAGTTCCTATGTAACTTAAATTTACTTCCTTGTATTTTCAATCTATTGGTTCTGTCTTTCCTTTTGAGGCAACAGTGAATGCCCACTTTCTCTTCTATGTGACAACCTCTGAACATATTGAAAATTGCTATGATATCTCCCCTCGGGTATATTTTCTATAGCACAGGTCCCCAACCTTTTGGGCACCAGGGACCAGTTATGTGGAGAGAGATTTTTCTGCGGACCAGAGGGGGTGTGGTTTTGTGTGCTGCCTGCATCTTGCAGATGGGGCTCTGCTTGTTTGTGTGGCCCGGTTGCTGACATGCCTTGGACCGGGGGTTGGGGACCCCTGTTCTATAGGCTACACATGGTAGATTCTTTGTCTGTTCTTCATCAGGTTTGTTTACTGATCTCTCAGTTTCCTGGTAGTCTTCTGAACCTGCTCCAGTTTGCTACCCTCATTTTTTTAATGGTGGTGCCCAGAGTAGACTTTAAATAGAAATTTTAATAAGGCAGAGTAGAACAATCACTTCCTGTGATCTGAATTCTGCATTCCTGTTAATGCTTCCCAAGTTGACATTTGCCCTATTCGTAGTACCATAGTGCTGTTGGCTCTTGTTTAACTTGTAGTTGACAAGGACATGCAGATTCTTTTCATATATATTACTACTAAGCTAGGTCTCCCACAGCCTTTCATTTTCTTTACCCAAATTTGGAACTTTATATTTTAGACATTTTATTCATTTCAGTTCATTGCTGATTTTTTTTATCTCTCTCTAATAATCCATTCCAGCTTTCTCTCATAAACTTAATGGGTTACCTTCAATTCCCTTATCCAAGCAATTGTGCTTTGTTTATGTTATAATAAGCTAACCCTCCCACCCAATTTTGTGTCATAAGAAAATTTGATAAAACATTTCTTTTATTTCTTCATTCGAATCATTAAAAAGAGTTCAAGAGTATACATCGTGGACCAAACTTTGATCTTCTCTTAAGGAACCATTGACTACTTGATTGTTTGAGCTAACTGTTGATTCACTTAATTGTCATGGCATGCTATCTATAATTAACAAGTCAGGTGATGTGATGAACTACAATTCCTGCAATTTATTAAGTATAAAACAGTGAAACAAAGTTCATATGATTAACTTGTTTTTGACAAATCCTTACTGATTTACGATAATTGTGCATTGTTGTTGCTTAGATTTGTTCAGTTTGTGATCTACTATGGAATATTCCAGGTATAAGTATCACATTCAGTGATGTGCTCTGTGGATTTTGCCCTCTTTCTACCATCTGGTACTTTACTTATTCTCCAGATATCTTAGAGATAATACATAAAGATTCAAAAAACATTACTGTTTATAGGATATAGTTAATCTGATCTTGGAGATTAAAACTGATTAAAAGTTAGGAAGTATTAATCTTACTGTATTTCTGTGAATCTTAACCTTCAATTTTATTCCTTCACCTGAAGAAACTTTTAGTGTTTTACCTACTTCCACCAAAATATATACCCTTTTTGTTTATGATTTTACTAAAGTTAGAACTGTTCTATTAGTAAAATAGCAGAATCTTGGTAGTTAAAATAGCAGTATAAATTGTATTATACTCTCAGCATGTTCCAGATTGCTTTGATTGTCCTAATTTTCAAATAGGGAGATACAGCATACACAGATCTGGAATACTGTCTTGATCTCTGGGGCAATCCATATAATTGTTTTATTTAGATGTTGCATAACATCTACTGTTATTGACATTATTATCACATAATAATGCTAGTAACAAGCTCTGGTTATTATCCTGAATCCTATGACCGGCCTATTCTTCCCTGGGCATTGCTAGCTGCTGCTTCAATGATAGTTGTTAGATTGGAATGCTTTACCTTCCAACTGTTACATCAGACAACTTGGGAGAGTAGCCCAGCTTCAATTACAATCTTTTTGGCCTGATTTTCCTGGGAATCTAGGGATAGGGATAGATGGGATTTTGGTGACGTGTGATGAGCAGATGCTGGTGATCCACTTCAGTAGGCCTTCCTCCAGATTGCTGAATACTAGAGGTAGGGGCAACTTGTGGATATTTGTGCTGGGGTGCACTAGATGTGAGTATGGAGCATGTTGTCCAGTTCTAGGTGGGCATTGAGATGGGCAGAAAAAAACTGGGAAGGGAAGAGGGCAAGTAGTTCCATTGTTGTTGTGACCAAGGAGAAAGATATAGTGGGAGGTTGAGGGTGGGTCACTCAAAGGGGCAACAGGACCAGTGTTAAAACTTGCCCTGCCTTCCAGACCTCAACATTCATCCTGGAAGCCAGGTCATTGGATCCTTGGTGGCCCTGGACTCCAGCAGCTGCTTCTGAATGCCAGACAGGTATGTAAAGATCTTCATCCATGACTTAATTATGGATGAGGCAGCTGATCAGGCATGTATAATTGAGACCTGGGTGAGTATGCAGCAGGGGTGCCCCCCTTAGAAATATGCCCATCTGGATTTGGAGTCTGGCATCAACTGTCACTCTAGTACAGGAAGATATGGTAGTTGTTATCCAGGAAGCCTTGATGTTTTCATAGGTTCTAGTCTGCACCTAGTTGTATACAAGTCTCTGGTTGAAGATGATTTTAGGAAACAACTGGGATTGTTATTGCTATACTGGCTTCTTCTTTGCAGCAACATCCTTGCCTGAGTTGATAGATTCTGTTGCTAGGTTGGTGATGGAATCCCCAAGGGTTTCTTGGGCCTTGGGGGTTTTAATCTCTCCCTGGGTGATACTGAATCATAGG